CCCCAAAACCCCAAAACCCCAAAACCCCAAAACCCCTATAAAATTTTGGAAGATAGAAAAATAATTATTAAGAACAAAATGGAAACCCTTAGTGATTATGAGGAATCAAACAGTCCTCTTAGAGACGTAGATTCAGAGATAAGAGACTCTTTTGCGTTAAGCGAAATGAATGAAAGTGTCGCTCTATCAGATTTGCTGCCTGAACTTGTGCGTATCCCTGATAAAGACCCTGCTGAATACAATATTAAATAACATTATCACGAATCCGATCGCTTTCAAGAACATTATCAAGCAGTTTGTAAATGTGAGCAGCGTGGAGAGGATCGAGAACATTAATAATATTCTAGACAAGTTGAAACTGTGCTTGCATAATAACATAATCATTAATAATCCAATGACTTATGACAAGTATCCCATTGATTTGGTAAAACTCCTGCTGGGCGCTTACTTCTCAGATTACTCTAAAGAGGACCCTGGAACGAGAGAGGCACTGCTTAAGTTGATCAGAGCAGTTACTGTTGGAGGCAGGTTCTCCAAGGCCCACTTTGAGTCTGTGTATGGGTACATCACCTCGAAAGATCCTGATGATCTGCTTGGAGCATTGGAACTCATAGAAAATATGATTACGATATAGATAAAACTCACATTCCGATGTTTTACTTCTCAGATATTGACAGCTACATTGAGATCAGTTCTAGCCTGACGATTGACAAAGCATTCAAGAATGGATTCACTATCGGATTTTGGTTCCGGATAGAAGAGCTCAACGGGACATCCTTTGAGGACTATCCCTCTCTATTCACAATATTTTGATCAGGGTCTGGTGGCTTCGAGGCTTATTTTGAAGGAAACATTCTTTATTACAAAACAATGAGTGGGAAAAGCTATAAATCAGGCCCTGATGAGAACAACTCTATCGCAGTCTTTGAGTTTGAAGCTAAGACATGGTACAACTTGTTCATCTGTCATAAAAAGAAAGGCCTGAAAATCTTGGTTAACGGAGAATTAATCAAAAATATCAAAAGTGTCGAATACCCGAAGAATATTGACTCTGGAAGGCTTGACAAAGGTTTTTTGTGCCGAAAAATGACTGGGCAGGTCTCTTCAATATTTATCTTCAGTGATTATATTTCTCCTGATATAACGATGGAGATTTATAAAAGATATCCAAAATCAATCCATGCAGATAAGTTTTTGAATGATTTAGACGAGGTCGACCAATTTAAAGCTGAAAAGCTAATTGATAAAATATTTGGGCTCTACATTCCGGCCAGAGCTTTTAAAGACACCAAAGGAGAAATATTTATAGAGTTTTGAAGCTATCACAGGAGAGCAAAATTAAGCTCCCAAGCAGGAGTCTTTTGTCAAGAAAGCCAGAAAAATCAGTTCCTGTTCTGAGGAGATGTTAAAGCTCTTCTTCCAATTATGCCGCTGTTTAAGAACATTAAAGATGTTGAACTTGGGAGGCGGACATTTAACAAATTTCTAGACATTATTGAGACATTCACTCAATTACTAACCGAAGATAATATCAAAGAGTTTCACTTAGAAGGCTTCTTTGCAGGATTTTTCCTCCTATTTTACTCAATTCCTCTAAACTTCTTTACAAAATACAGCATTCAGTCACTAATCGACATCAGGTTTAACTTGAAGAAGGATTCTTCGTTCTTCAATCACATGATGCACACCACTGATATTTGGATAAATCTTGACTTTGAAATCCAACATTTCTTTTGGGATTACGTGAACGGGATTTATTCACAAGACTATAAGGAATATCTCAAATTCATAGATATTAAAAGACTTCTCCAGATCGTTAAGCATCTTGTTAACACTAAGAAAGGTCACTGCTGAGAGATACACGAGAAGATTAAAGATCCAAGATCGGCAAGGAAATCTGCGAAATATTTCCCTGTGACCAATCTTTCGGAGTACATCAGGCCTATCCTTGAGATAGTTCAAAACATCTTGAGCAGCTGCTCTAAGGGAAATAAAGATACTTCAGTGACTAGTTGAGTTACTGATCTAGTGTCCATAATTACTTACAAACAAACTCCTTGCTATCGCATCGAGATTTTGAAGGTCATTAAGAACTTAGTGTCAGAAAAGGAGCCTAACTGCCATGTGTTCAAGATCCACTTGAAAGAGGATAAGCACTTTTTTATGATTCTGAAGGTATTCAACGAATCATATTACGATGTGCAGACTTACTGTGCTGAAATCATAAAATATTTGGACCTTGACCAATCAATTAAGGAAAAGATATTCTCCTTCATGAATTACTCGGTATGACCTCCTGACCAAAGAGATATTGATGTAAGCCTTGAGGACATGACTGCCTATCACACACCTGTTTTTAAGAACCAGTTTGGGAACATCCTTGATCACTCTGAACAGATGAGAAGCCAGAGTAGTCTCTACAAAGCCAAGAAAATGAACTCCAGTTTTGAACCCTCTACTGTTATCAGAGATTATGAGGAAATGAAGTATGAAAGAAACACAAAAGTTGCTTTTAGAGATGTTCAGAGACGAAGCTCCCGAAAGTCTATCAATAAGCGTAAGTTCCACCTTTAATAGTATAGTTCGGAGAAGACTAACTGATTCCAACATTAGTGAAAATTCTGAAGATTACATCAATTTTTCTCAATCGTATAACTCCATGCATCAGTCTTCAAAGGGGAAAGTTGAAGAAGATACTAAAAACTCTGAAGAATCTCTAGAAGATATTGATGAAGAAGATCCTTTGGATACATATCTTAAACATTTCGCAGATAGAAAAGAGGTTAAGGAATCCCCTGTTATGGATGATGAAAATAGAATAGAGGTCAACCACCATAGAAAGTCAGGGAAAAGCATCTCCCCTAGTCGTCAATCTATTCGGAAATTAGAACCTACTACGACAATGATAAAAGGGTCTACTAATCTTCCTCTAACTTCTTCATTATCAAGTGACGGAAATAATTCTGGGGGCAACAATGAACTCTCCAAGCAAGAAGATTTTATTAACGAAGAATTGAATGGCCTTTATCATGTATTCCTTTCATGGGTTTTCTCATCCAGGGATGAACTTGACTTATCTCGGTCAATAAGGTACAGTTCAGTCCTTCCACTTTGCTTGAATCTCGCTGCAAAATCTACTAAACTAATGAAGCTAAAAGTTATTTCAGATTTCAACTTCATGACTGCTGTTGATAAGAATACTACAGTAATAATGGCTGAAAGAACATTCTCGCGATGGATAATAGACTTATTATATACTGAATTTCCTCCAAAGAAGGATAAAGATCTTGACCCCATCTGGGAGATGGGTTGCAAGCTTTATATCCAGATGGCGAAGACATGCTTAAATAGTGACACTTCATCCCACTTTTACATCCACCAGCTGCTTGTCTGGCCTATGATCAAATATCTCAAACACAGAAGTTCAAAAGATAGAACAAGTAATGATATCAAACGAAGAGAAAGGATGGTCAGAACCATCCTCTGCAGCTTCCTCGACACAGTTTCTGCAAACAAAGATCGAGAAAAGTGGAATCCCAGCTTTGGTCGTGATAGTCCATTTATGAAATTTTGGAGAAACATCACCCAAATCCTCTTTCATATTGAAGAGCTAGTCTTATCCTTTGAATACATAAGGCAGGCATTCTCTGATGATACTAGCACACCTTGTAAAGCCACATCAAAGAGGAAGAAATTGATACACGATGAGTTTGGTTCAAGTCTGCTTGAAAGAAAAGCAGATCAGTCAATATTCGATAATACTAAGAACTATCTCTTCATGTCCTCAGTAAGCAACACTTGGCAAGATTCAAGACTTCTTAACATGATATTTGAGATAATAGAGCCAATTTGGGTCATAAAATCTAAGCGAAGGACTTCAAAATCTCAGAAATCTAGCTATTCAATGCAATTTAAAAAGTAAGTCTTGGTTCTCAACACTTTAGAATTGGATATAATCAAATAGAAGATCAAGTGCTAGATTGTTTGGATGAAATCACTTGAGGGGATGCTAATGAGAAGATCCAAATGTTCTTAGCTAAGAAAATTTACCCGGAAGAATCTAAGAAAAAGGAGAGACATAATTTTACCTTTATTAAAACAGCAATAAACCTAATCTGCATTAGGATCACACTTGAAAATGAAAAGAAGTTTCTCTTCTATTATTGAAAAATGCTGGGAGATATAGCTGAGTGCTGTATTTACATCAGTGAAAATTGGACCTCACAGAAATCTGATGAGCACAGCGTCATCCAGTCACACTTAACCAAGATCCTTGCCTTCATTCTCTATTTCTTACATTGTGAGATAAGATGTGAGAAAGGAAACAAGGATTATCTCTGTAAAACTCTGGATAGCATTATGGCTACTATATTTGTGATTGTTTTGAAAAAGTACCCAAAAGACCATGAGCACTCAGATCCTCATAGTCCTCAAGCAAAGCTTGTGACACGACTCCTCAACGGGTTCTTCGAGGAGGAAACTGACCACACTCTACTCTTCACCAGAAAAGACTTGGAAAATTACCAAGCTAAAGACTATAAAGAGATATGGACACTTTTGTGCTCCGACCAGTGAAGTGACTTCTTTGATGAGTCTAAAAGATTTGAGTCGATTAGACAAGAATTTTGTAAGAACAATTATTGCGAAATTGTAGCCAAAGAGAGATACACTTATGCCAAGAAAGTCAGAAGCGACCAGAATACCTGGGATTATCAGGAGAAAAAGAAATATCAAGAAATCTCTATTGATATTACTGATAAACATGAACGGATCAAGACATTAGAGGAAATTAACACTAAAGATACTATTTTATGGATTGACATTAGACAAAGGAAGATGAAGAGGTACTTAAGAAAGGCTTACAACAACCTCTTCCTCTGGAAAGGTGTATGGAGGAACAAGAAGTTGTTTGATAAATATCCTGAAAATGTCCCTCTCAAAGCTTTTGATTTCATAACAAAGAATTTGACTAAGCCTATTCTTAAAAACTATGCTTCCCAAGGTCTTTGCTATTATGACGAAGTAGAAGCTGAGAATATATTGAAGAGAGACAATATCAAATACTCTGGGGATAACTGGAGGCTTCTCAAATGAGATGATGTCTTTGAAGACAAGATCTACATCAACCTCAAAAATAGGTTCTTCAGTAGACAAATGAGCTCAGAGGAAATGAAGCTCCTTGACTCCTGTTATACAGCCTTACTTGACAAGTATATCTTTGATTATAAAGAGAAGGATCATATTCTTGGAGGTAATGTACTGCTTTATTTCTAGAGTATAAATGAACTCAATTGACACCATTATATTCGAAGTATGGGAAAATACTTATAACCACAAAGAAGATAGTCTTCTTAGATTCAGTATACTCTTCAGATCTTTCAAGCTCTGGAGTCTACTCAAACCAATCTCTGGATTTCTTTACTTATAGAAAGAAGCCATATAAAATGTTACATTCGACGTACTGAATTTCAGATATCCGGTATACTTTCAAGAGGAAATTCCTTTTTGAACACAGCTGAGTGGACCTGATCTTCACTAATTGTGAGAGCTTAACTATAAATTTCAAGGCTAAAGAAGATTGTACTAAATTCCTTAAACATCTACATGATATTAATCCATCAACCAAAACATTCATGAATGGATTAAAGAAGAGTAAAGCGACTGAGAGGTGGCAGAGAGGAGAGATTTCCAACTATTTCTACCTAATGTTACTGAACTACCTTTCTTCTCGGAGCTATAATGACCTGTCGCAGTACCCAGTAATTCCTTGGTTCATCGACCAAGGATTACTCCATAGTAGAAACTTCGATGAAACTCTGATAAGAGATTTTGGCAAGAATCTCCTGATGCTAGGAGGTGGTAAAAGATTAGAACAAGCTATTGAGAGATATGGAGAAGAAGATATGGATCAAAAATATCACAGTGGGACTCATTACTCCAACCCAGGGGTCATCTTGCAATACCTTGTCAGAATTCCTCCCTTCTTAGATGGACTCATTAAGTTCCAAAGTGGCAAACTTGATTGTGCGGATAGAATGTTCTCAAACCTTGCATTTTCTTACAATCTAGCATTGAACGAAGTTGGAGACATGAGAGAGTTAATTCCTGAAGCACTAGTCTTACCAGAAATGTATAAGAACCATCTCAATGTTAACTTCGGAGAGACTCAGGATGGAGATAACGTGGATCATGTCATCCTCCCAGAATGGGCTGAAGAAAATCCATATATGTTCACATGCAAATTCAGAGAACTTTTTGAATCAGAGTTGGTATCTGAAAATCTCCAAAACTGGTTTGATTTAATCTTTGGATACAAGCAAAAAGGAGAACATGCTGAGGAAGCTTGAAATATTTTCCCACCTCTATCATATGAAGGATCTATTGACATGGCAGATCCTGAAAATATAGCAGCAAAGGATTCTTTAGTAGTTCAATTGTACAATTATGGGCAATGTCCAACCCAATTACTCACAGATCCTCATCCATGAAAAGAGGAGAGGAAAGAACCTTTGAAGTTTATCAGCAAGGAAGCTGATCTTCAAGCAAAGCCGATTGACCTCAATCGTCAAAAATATGGTGAAATAAAAGAAATCAAATTCGTAAATGATAGCCAATTCTACATGATTTATAAGAAGAACCGGATCTGAAAAATGGCGTATAATGAGTACTTAGAAGGAGGTAAAAAGCCACTGATAAGCGATTGCTCTTCAGGAAAGGTGTATAAGATAGTAGTGGATCCTCTAAAGATTCATTCACCAGAATTTGCTTCTCAGAATAACCTGTAAGATATCCGTTTTATGTTATAGTGTTCCAATCTCGACCATTTTGGTCAAGCATGATCTCCAAATCCTCATCGGAGGATATTGGGATGGAATGATGGTAGTCCAAAATTTCACAAAGAAACAAGAAACTGGCAAGAAGAAGCATCTATACAGAATCACTATGATAGAAGCTAGTCAAAGCGAAAGCATCATTATCACAGGCACAGAGAAAGGAGACATAGCCAAATGGAGTCATCATGAAGGTGAAATTTCATTTGAGTCGTTATTCTTTCACCATCAAAATGAAGTCACAGGATGATGCATTTGAGAAGATATGGGAGTTTTTGCAACTTGCTCAAAAGATGGCACAGCAAACTTATATGTAATATCTGCAACTCGTGATCCTCAGTCTGGCTCTCAGAAATCATACATCCTAAGAAGTTTCAGACAGCCGGATGATTTACCTCTTGAAAAAGTATTGATATCAGAGGCTCCGCTTGCATCAATAATTCTACGTAAGCATAACTTCTTCATCTATAGTCGCTGAAGGCAAGAAATTGGTATCATTTAGTATTAACGGGAAGTACATTGAAAGTTATGAAGACTTATTAATGATCGAGAATCCTCTAGTGATCACTGACACTCAATTCGCTGATAAACTCGTGTACGGAAACACTGCTGGAAAATTAGGTAAATAAGCTTGCTCTTTGACTTGTTCTAACTCATTCTAGTATTCCTTAAACTTCCATCCTTCACAGATAAAGAATCAAAATTATGCTTCGACAAAAACTGAGTTTCTCCTCTATGTTTGACACCAGATGAGCGAATCCTTATTTTCTTCCAGGATGGCCTCTGTTGTAATGGAGATTTCGAAACCAACATCAGAAAGGAAAGGAAGGAACTCAAGAAGATGTTTGGATTCTAGCAAATTCTTTGTATCATAATGGAAGGATTCCTAATGAGAACTCTCCCTGGTTTGAAGCCATTACTTTGTCAACATGGGCGTCTCAAATCGGGGTTTTGGGGTTTTGGGGTTTTGGGGTTTTGGGGTTTTGGGG